CATGAACATTTCAAAATCCATGAATGGAGTATGATCGTCTTTTCACGAGAAACGACTGGTGCTATCAAAAGGAGAGTTGAAGATCCTCCTAGTTCAAGTAGCACACCACCAAATGGTGACGATCCCATTCATCCAGATCAGCATGGTGATGTTCCACCAAATGATGATATGTTGAGTGGTGATGAACCAGAAGATCCTCTGGATGATGATAATCAACCTGATTACAATACTGGACCCGATCCAGGTGATGATGATGATCAAGAGTATATCATTCCAGATGATTATGGACGGGAGAGGGATCAAAAAAAAAACAAATAAGGATCAAAAAAAACAAATAGGGATCAAAAAAAACAAAATCAGGAAAGGAAAGAAAGAAAGAAACAGGGGAAGAAAGAAAGAAAGAAAGAAAGGAAGGAAGGAAGGAAGGAGGAAGGAAGGAAGAAAAGGAAGGAAGGAAGGAAGAAAGGAAGAAAGAAAGAAAGAACGAAAGAAAAAAAGTAAGAAAGAACGAAAGAAAGAAAGAAATAAAGAAAGAAAGAAAGAAAGAGTGAAGTAAAGAAAGAAACAGGGAAAGCAAGAGAGACATAAAGGAAGGAAGGAAGGAAGGAAGGAAGAAAGGAATAAAGAAAGAGAGAAATTAAGGAAGGAAGGAAGGAAGGAAGAAAGGAAGAAAGAAAGAAAGAAAGAGTGACGTAAAGAAAGAAACAGGGAAAGCAAGAAAGAAATAAAGGAAGGAAGGAAGGAAGGGAGGAAGAAATGAAGAAAGAAAGAGAGCAAGTCAGTCAAACTTCTGACTTTTGGGCTTTGACCTGCCTTAGCTTCAGAGTGCGGCCTTTTGGCCTCACTTGTCACCCATGCAAAGTTGGGTGCAAGCTCAAACGTGGCATGCGCCTTGTAAACTCCCGAAAAAATAAGATCACGATGTCCATCTATGATGGGTTGCTGGATTGCTTCTCCGTAGTCGCCTGTTTTTGGCTCCAAATCCCTTTTGCCACTTTGGTCAGCATGAGCCGTAAACAGCAAAGGACCGCGGGACAGTTGGGTCACGGGTTGCAGCATCTGAGTTTTCATAAGCATGTATATACATAGAAATATAGACACACACACATATATATATATATATCCATATATATATATATCCATATATATATATATATATATATATATATATTTATTTATTTATTTATATATTGATCTATCTATTTTTTATTTATATTTACATGCCAGTATCTACCATGTAAACATATCAGCAGAAACATGAATAATACAGATGTTGCGACATTTGGTTGTTGCCTTGTGGCAGTAAGTGGCATTGGGATATTGCGTGCTCCTCGTGAATCCGTGCGTCGACCGTGCTGCGTAAGGGGAAGCTCTTGCGTGGCCGGTCGTCGCCGGAATCCTTTGTGTGTGTGTGTGGCTGCGTGTCCGTGCGTCGACCGTGCTGCGGCTCTGGCGTGGCCGGTCGTCGCCGGAATCCTGTGCTCGATGAAATGTGTATCGGTGCGTCGACCGTGCTGCGTAAGGGGAAGCTCTTGCGTGGCCGGTCGTCGCCGGAATCCTTTGTGTGTGTGTGTGGCTGCATGTCCGTGCGTCGACCGTGCTGCGGCTCTGGCGTGGCCGGTCGTCGCCGGAATCCTGTGCTCGATGAAATGTGTATCGGTGCGTCGACCGTGCTGCGTAAGGGGAAGCTCTTGCGTGGCCGGTCGTCGCCGGAATCCTTTGTGTGTGTGTGTGGCTGCATGTCCGTGCGTCGACCATGCTGCGGCTCTGGCGTGGCCGGTCGTCGCCGGAATCCTGTGCTCGATGAAATGTGTATCGGTGCGTCGACCGTGCTGCGTAAGGGGAAGCTCTTGCGTGGCCGGTCGTCGCCGGAATCCTTTGTGTGTGTGTGTGGCTGCATGTCCGTGCGTCGACCGTGCTGCGGCTCTGGCGTGGCCGGTCGTCGCCGGAATCCTGTGCTCGATGAAATGTGTATCGGTGCGTCGACCGTGCTGCGTAAGGGGAAGCTCTTGCGTGGCCGGTCGTCGCCGGAATCCTTTGTGTGTGTGTGGCTGCGTGTCCGTGCGTCGACCGTGCTGCGGCTCTGGCGTGGCCGGTCGTCGCCGGAATCCTGTGCTCGATGAAATGTGTATCGGTGCGTCGACCGTGCTGCGTAAGGGGAAGCTCTTGCGTGGCCGGTCGTCGCCGGAATCCTGCGCTCGATGACATGTGTGTCCGTGCGTCGACCGTGCTGCGTTAGGGGAGACTCTTGCGTGGCCGGTCGTCGCCGGAATCCTGCGCTCGATGAAATGTGTATCGGTGCGTTGACCGCGCTGCGTAAGGGGAAGCTCTTGCGTGGCCGGTCGTCGCCGGAATCCTGCGCTCGATGACATGTGTGTCCGTGCGTCGACCGTGCTGCGTTAGGGGAGACTCTTGCGTGGCCGGTCGTCGCCGGAATCCTGCGATGTGTTTCCGTGCGTCGACCGTGCTGCGTAAGGGGAAGCTCTTGCGTGGCCGGTCGTCGCCGGAATCCTGTGTGTGTGTGTCGGTGTATCCGTGCGTCGACCGTGCTGCGTAAGGGGAAGCTCTTGCGTCGGTGCGTCTGTGCATATTGTGTATATATATATATATATTACATGTATATGCATATATATATATATATATTTATTTATTTATGAGATTCCGTCAAAATTTGCGCTGATTAAGTCTTTACTGGAGTGTGCATCGGATGGTGGCCGTCGCATGAAATCTGTTCAAACGAGAGGAAACTCACAAAAAACGATGCTTTTTTTGTTTGCGCATGCTTGCGCGTTTTGGGGTGTGGGCATAATGTTTGCTTAGGCAGGGTTGTTTTGTCACGTTTGGATCCACTTCACCATGAATGGGTGTGCCCATGCGGTGGCTTGACTTTACATGATTTTACAATACTTTAGCCACCTAGGTGGGCTGCTTCAACTCGGCACCGAGTAGCTCAGATTACGGAAACCATGCATCTATTCGCAGGCAGTGTAGGCATGCTGGAGTGGCCAACTCCATGCAGTATCTCGTTTTGCTGCCGGGCCTAGCTTTGGTAGACCGCGGAGAGCTATTCACTCAGTCTCGCATGCATGTGACTTGCAAAGATGGAGCCCGCGCAGAACGATACCCAAAACGATGCCCAAACGATACTAAAATCTTTCCAAAAGCGCCCCGGGTGACCGACTGGTCACAAAACAGAAAACAGGCGGAACAGGTGGTGGATGTTGGTAGTATGTTGTAGTGATGGACTCAAGTTTTATGCCCCGGCCGGATAAATTTTGAGGTGGGCAGCTGTGAGTGGCCAAAGCATGCCAAATTCCAAAAGGCTTGCTGGGTGAATTGACCGCTCAAGCAGCGCGAAGGAGGACCAGACAGGCACGGGCAAAAGCACAAGTGCGCTCCAACGCGCGCAAACAAAGATTGCTAGGTATGAGGACCCAAGTGGACGCGCTTCAAAGCTATGCTTAAACAGAGGTAAATACTGGCCAAAATATGGAAAAACAGGAAGCCTGTAAAACGATAGGGGGCTCACTAACTTGATGGCGCACTTGATGCAAATAAAAAATTCGACCGTGGCTCATATATGTATATGATTGTATATGTATATATATATATGTATGTGTTTTTATTTATATATGCAAATGCACCTGTTTATTTGTATACAAACGGTAGAATATTCGCAGCATATGTCATTTTTCTTTGCAACAAGCAAATCACATTTATTGTCATAACAGAGACGTCCATGCGCATGTGCCTCTCTTCCCAGGAGGGCAAACTGGAAGCGCAAGGCTTGAGCAGCCACAGAAGCATATGATTATGGATAGTATCCCAGCCTGCGCATCTGGCAGGCAACTGGCATAGAAGTGAGTTCGCCCGTAAAGGCGTGAGGGCAATAGGCGTTATTTTTGGTTCGCAAATATGATTCAACAATATTCAACATGTGCCGCTCACTTCGCTGCAAAGGCTGCGAAGGTGGAGCCGGAGGCCAAGGCTCCGCCAGCCCGAGGTTTCTAATATGTTTGGGTCTGGGAAATTGGTTTTGCTCAAGCTTGAAAATGCCGTCCGTTCAGTAAAGCGCAAGGTGCTCCGAGAAATCTAAAAAATTAGAATTTTGCAGGAGAGGTAGGTGTCTTGGTCTTCATGACAAAGTTCTGATTAACAGGCTGCCTAATCGTCTTAGCACGTGAATACTTGCGAATTTGATTGGTTAACCGACCAAACGACTAATTGACTGACAGACTGTAGGATTTATGAAATTGACAAATACCGACTGACTGATGCGTTGACGAAGTGAAGACCTGGCTACCTGACTCAATCTGACCATCTGGCTGGGTAACGAACCCTGCTGGACAGCCGGCTTGCCATAATTGAAATTGTAGACTTTTAACTTTCTTTGATAACCTAAGCCTGCTTCACTTAAGGGCTTCGCAGAAACTGCTTGCAGGTGAAGCTGCCACCAATGCCTCCACCACCTCAGCGGCGTTTTCCTCTGCCTCCCCCACCGGGTCCCCCACCGGCTCCGCCCCCGCTGCCGCCTCCCAAGTGGCCCCACCCTTCCGTTCGGTCTGCCCCTTCCAGGCTTGCTTTGTCTAAAACCATGCCGTGGCAATCCATTTTCAAAGCCTTTACTTTCAGAGGCCGCCGCCTCCGCCTTCTGATCTTCCAAGGCTTGGTTGCGGGCCTGCTTTTTCTTTTAACGTATCATTCAAGACTCTGCTCGTCTTTTTTTCATACAAGTGGTTTCCTGTTTTGAACTAGTTTCACTCCAAGATGAAACACCAAGCTCGCAAACGCATGCTACCACCTTGATGGATTCAAGCGCGTCGTCGCATGATGTTTCAGCAGGGCCGTCGCCCCTAAACCCACATTGTCTTTCTCCAACTGTTTCGTTTTCTTTGGATTTGCCTGCTCCGGCTCCATCCACTTGGTTCGACCCCCTGAGACCATCGCTGACCTCACAATCTGTCCGACGAGCATGGTCATCCACTGCAGATGCAGCGCCAATGCGCAAGCCCTCAGACCAGACATTGGAATTCGAACCTCCGGTTGAAATGGGTCTGTCTTCATTGCTGCCGCAATGCTTGCCTGAACCTGCCCGCTCTGCCGAGTGCGGCAATGATGGTGTTGTTTCTTTGCCTTTCTTCCCGAAATGGTTGCCTAAGCCTGTTCAACACCAATCTCAGAGTGCGAGTGCCCCTTTGCCTTTTTTCCCAAAATGGACTCCGCGACAGCATCGTGCTTCGTTGCCCTTCTTCCCACAGTGGGCGCCAAAGGCTGCGCCGCATCCATCCAGCAGCAACCTGCCAGAGACCGTAGGAGGAATGGTTGGCAGCACGCCGCCTCCGGTCTGTTTGTCTTCAACAACATATTGGAATTTGCTAGCTGTGGGCGTTCCGCCTGCAATCGCCCGAGAAGCGGCGCGTCGCCATGTCGATGATTTCGATGCTGCGTTGGATTGGGCGTGTTCGTCAGATAGACGACACACACGGGTCGGTGTTCCAGATTGTGTTGACCTGGTTGACTCTTCCAGCAATGCCAGCCCTCCACCTGGCGCTGCCTCTCCCAACCCGGTGAATCTGCGCGTTCCGGCGTCGTGGTTGGCTTCTCCAACAATCGCAGACGCAGGCTTGGCCCCGCATCCTGAATCTCTTGATGCAGCAGCACCGCCGCCCTTGCCATCTGTTCCTCCATTTCCTGGATCTTGGGTTTACTCGCCTTCTGTTCTTCCGGGAGTTTCTGCGTCTGCTGATATGCGTCTTGCAACCAACACCCCGGCGCTTCCAGCCCCTTGTTCCTTTCGGGAAGCTGCTTCCGAAGATCTTCTCAACGTGCGCAGCGAGGCAGAAGCAGATCCAGATGTTGGGGCGCGCAGCGTTGGTCTTAGATGCGTTGGCCCCCCATGCTATGTCGACGACCCAGCTGCCGAAGTGCATTCCTGGTTCTGCTTGCTGGCAAATTCCTGCGGTTCTGCTGGGTTTGATCTTGATTTTTGGTCCAGGATGCCGCTCTATTCGCAACACATCCAGGAGCGCAGTCTCCGAGAAATTGTTACGGAATCTTTGGCAGCTATCCAAGATCTGCGCGGCTTAGATTTGTCCATAGATCAAGCCGCTAAGTTACCGCGTTGTCTTGGCCAAACAACATTGCTGCCTCTGGCTGTTGCAGCAGAGTTCTTACATGAAGGTTGTGGCTTCCCTGCGATTTTTGCCTTCGATCTTTTCCAATCATGTCTCGCTTCCTGCCAGCACAAGGCGTTGGAGGTAGCACTGTATGCTGCGAAATCAAAATCGTTCACATGCAAGGCCCGGTGGTGGGCCTGCCCGACCGGCGACCCAAATGCCGGCAAATCACCAACTTGCGCCTTTGTCATGAAAGCCTTTGTTGCCATGGTAAAATCCTTGCCTGAAGGCTGCTGGCCGGATCAACATTGGATTGGTGTCGGAAATAACAACCGGATCCAAAACCGCCTTCGGGCTCTTGATGGAACCCTTCTCCTCTATGGTCCAGAATCCAAGCCTATCTTGGATCCAAATTTCCCCACCAAGAAAACGGTTGACACCGGGAAGTTTTTGGATTTAACCCGGTGGCTGGAGGCAGCTAACGGTGGCCGGTTTGAATGGGGCACCGGCGCTGAGGAGAATGAACGGCAAAAGCGCAAAACAGCTTCAGGGCCAGTGACAGAACCATGTAGTGCACCCCTGGTATTTGACCCGACAAACATCAATCTATGCCTCTTCCAACAATTCAACTTGTTTGAGGATTGGTGGTGCAATGTCGAGGCAATCCACAAGTGTGGCTTCAGCGCGCGGGTGCTCATGAGTCCAACTGACCGTGCTATTGTGAACCGAGACGTTGGCTTGCAAGACCCAACTTGCGTTGCAAAGCTTATGTCTAAGATTTGGACGCACACCGTAACGCACCATGGACCGGAGAAGGCGCCATCAGAACCCCTGTGCCCTTCCCTCCTGGCCCAGGGAGAAGTGCGATCCCTATATTACGAACTGCACGAAGAAGATCAGAAAGGTGGTTGGGGATCTGCAATGAAATCAGCGCTTGGGAAGATGGAATACCATGTCCCCACAACTGCTTGCCTCACTTCCTTGGCGTCCTGGGCTTTGAGTCCGCCATCCCTGTCTAATGCCCTCAGTGACAACTCCATCAAATGCGCTGTTTTGCACTTTGCCCTTCGCCTTTGCCAAAGTTGCGCCGTCGTGGATTCAACAATTCGGCGCATTCAAGCAAGGCAAAAACTGCCGCCCGCTGCGCACTCCTTGCCGTCGCAGCAAGTCCGGCCACTCACGGCGCGGGTCTTGGAGACGTGCCGCAAAGATCCAATTCTCGAAACGCACCTCAGCTGTCACTTTGCCATGCTCAGAGGCGCTGACAAGCGTCAGGACAGACTGGCTCTTCTAAACGAGCTTGTTCGCTTGGGGCTTGGTGAAATCAAAGAGAAAAGGCGTCGGCATGGAGGGGAGGGCCGCTGTGTGGAGTTTCATCGGTGCCCGCTTAGTCCCACAGTTTCGGCTGCTCTTTTGACTCTGAACGTCCCAGAAGCTTTGTGGCCACGTCCTGCAACTCTTGCCCCCGCCCCAATGCCTTCCGATGCTGTTCCACCTATGCATGGTGCTGGAAAACGCGCCCGGGCCCAGGCCGCAGTGCAGCCAGAAGCCCCAGAAGCAGCAGATCACCCAGATGCCAAAAAGGGCCGGGGTCGCCCTTCTGCAAAAGAGGTTGATGACCTATATTCAATGCAGGCAACTCTTCCCTGTGAGCAAGAGCAGCTCTCCAAAGCAGACTTTCTAAACCAAGAAAAGGCCTGGGCAAGTTCGTTAGTTTCCGACCGCAACTTGCGCATCAAAGGCCAGTTTGCTGCACATAAAAAAGGCTTCAAAGTTCACCTGTGGTGCAATTCTTGTGATGCTTGTCAGGATCGGAAAGGCTGGAAGGCCATTTGCACGTATAATCGAGATGAGAAGCTAATTCATAGAAAGTCCACGCCGATAGCTTCTCATGGCGATTTCAATGCCACCCGGGCCTGGAACCCTTTAACCAGCACTGCAGAGCATGCATTGAAGCAGTTCGTGCAAGCAAATGCGCATTTCTCGACGCAGGACTTGGTGAAAATTGTCGAGAAGCACCAGCCAGATCGCCCGACCGATGCATTCCTCCAAACATGGGGAAAAAACCATCGGGTTCACAAAGGCTCTGCAAAAAGCCGCACAAGTTCTTTCAAGTGGGTTGAATCAGATTGGCGGCAGTTGGAGCGAGACCTTGGCTCTGCACTGGACTTGGAAGAAGCTGTGAATGAGCTTAAAATTGCCGGCCTCTTGTTGGAACGAGAGCAGACGGCGATCATCTTTTGCAACCCAATGTTGCTCGAAGAGACTTTGCACAGCTTGACCAACAGGGTCTACATAAAGTTGTGCGGAGATGGAACGTTTAGGCTCACCGAAGAAGACTGGGTGCTCATGACCGTTGGTGTTTTGTCCAAACATTATTCCGAATCCGAAGGCGTGGAGGCATTTCGCACTGCCTTTCACCCTCTTGTTTTCGGCCTTGCCAACAAGGAAAGCCAGCCAACTTATCAGGTCTTGTTCGAAGCATTGTGTGCTTGCGCCGAGAAATTTGCTGGTGTGGATTTGCGGTCGTCGTGCCAGCAGTATCATGTTGACATGCACCCTGGCGAGGACCTTGCGCAAAGATCCGTGTTCATCAATGCCAGCCGTGTGGCCGACTGGGCCCATGTTATTGGTGCTTGCAACCGTCCAAAAGCTTCAAAGCATTTAGCGCTTGGTGATGAGCGGATCAAAATTTTCCGATCCGGTGCGTTTGCCACGATGCAAAACAATTTCACGCGAGCAGGCCAGAAGCTTTTACCCTTGGTCAAACGTGCCTTCTTCTGCCTACGCTCTGTCCCCACAGCAATGATTTTCCATTCCATTGCAGCACTCCTACTTCAAACCCTCGTGTCTCAGCAGCCACCGGAAGAGAAAGCAGCCAAAGCACTGCAGCGGCATTATCTTGTCAAGCATGGCCGCCAGCAAGCGCAAGCGAACTTCAAGGTGGAGGATTGGCCCGGTGAGCAAAACACATTCTACACCGCAGAATGGTGGTGCGGCTTGCAGCGGATACAGCCCGGCTCCGCTTCTGGCACGCAAGCGCAAGAGTCGTGGCACCGCTGGAAGCTCAAGAAATACCTTGGCCTTCGTTCCGACTTGTCTTCCTTCTCCAAGAATTTAGCTGATTTCACTAAATCCCGGCTTATGGACTTGCGTGGGGAAGGCTCATGTCTCCCAGACATGCCGCCTGAACCTTTTCCCGATAAGACTGTTTTGCAAGATTCAAATGTTTTGACGCGGCAAGGCCGGTCATCCGCAGATCAATACTTTCGTACACGGGCATGGGACAGATTTGATGATGCCGACGGGACCACATTTTTTTGCATGCGTCGCACACTGGCCACTTATGACCATGCGTCCAACAGTTGGAAAAATACACCCGACAATGCGGTGCCATGTCCTTCATCTGGTTTTGCGCAAGCTTTTGCGAATCTGGTCCGGGCGAATTCTGAAGCTTGCCTAATCCGTGCCTTGTTCAGCCTTGGCTTGGCGCAGCCCCTTTTGGATTTAGAGAAGCTTTTGAAGCTGTTGGATTCCTATGTCCTTGTTGCTGTCGGCCCGTTTGCTTCTCAATTCTGGCGTCGGGAGTCCCTTGCAGGGGAGGCTAATCCACACACACAAGGCTTCTGTGCATTTTGTCATGAGTTTTGCCTGCACGCAACCTGTGAGCACATGCACGCGGCCTTCCTTATCTTAGGGCAACTGTCTCTCCAACGGCCTGTCTTTCCGGAACGGAGCAAGCCCGTGCCACTGTTTGAACAAGACCCGGTAGAAGTCTTGCTGCCGGCAGCGTTGGGTGGACTCTCAGCGCGCGGCCAGACCCGGCCTGACCCGCTCGACCTTCCTCGAGAAAATGCGAACCTCACCGCCTTTCTGCGTGCCCACAATTGGATTTTGTGGAACCGGCCGCTGCAGCAGCAGCAGATGACAGTGCAACAACTGTCCAGCCTCACCTTCGCAGATCTGCGCCTTGCTGCGCCGACTATTCCTTCCGGCGTTCTCCTCCAAATTCAATCTGCTGCCTGCGAGTGGATGCATCGTGAGGCCGAGACCTTGGAATCTAAGCTCAACAAAATCAGTTCCGTGTCACTTGCGGCTGTCCTTCCATGTCTGCTTCGTTTTGCCTTTGCCTAGTCATGCCCGTTGCCTTTCCTTTTTCATGCCCGTCGCTTGCCTTGCCTCCACTGAGGTTCAAGCCGTCAGTCCGGATGTCTGGCTCGCAGCTCCACTCCTGATTTTTCCATGGCTTCCAGATCCAATCTTATTTTTTTGCTTGCCTTGCCTGCGTTGAGGTTCACGCTGGCTCTCCGGATGTCTGACTCCCAGCTTCGTTCCTGCGCATTCCAGAAGAAGATTTCAGCTCAATCTTTTGCGTCACTTGTGGCTATTCCACGTGCGGTTGTCCTTTCATGTTTGCTTCGGTTTGCCTTTCCTTTTGCATGCCCGCTGCCTGCCTTGCCTCCACTGAGGTTCAAACCGGGTCTCCGAATGTCTGGCTCCGAGCTTCGTTCTTGACTTTCCCAGGCATCGCTTTCAATTCAATCTTTTAAGTCACCCGCGGCTGTTTCCGAATTGGTGCGTTTTGCATGTCCCTTTTCATGTCCGTTGCTTGCTTTGCTAAGGTTGAAGCTGGCTCTATGGATGTCTGGCTCTAAAAATTCTTCTTGCCGAACTTTTGCGTTTCAGCGTAACCGCCATGTCCTCCGATGTCCTCTGTCAATTAGAAATGCGTGTAGCTGCTGCCATGTTCTTCCATGATTAACTTCTTCCTCCCATATCCAGCCCTCAGCTTTGGTTTTGCATTCCGTCTTGTTTCTGGCTGCGCACATGTGTTCCTAGCTGCTGCTGTCTCAAAGGCCAACAAGTCTGCTGAACCTGCGTCACTACCAGTTGCACTCCTAGATGTCCTTTTTGAGCGAAACAATCAATTCCTGTGTAGGTTTAGTCTTTATTGTAGCTTTTTCTGCCGTGGTACGTGCACATTAGGAACAGGCTTTCTCATCCGAGGTCCTGCTCTGAGTTTTTTTTGTCGCATGCTGTCTGCTTTCTTCATGTCCACCGGTGTTCCTGCGCAGTACCGTACCTAAGGCGAACAAGTCTGCTGAACCTGCCCCACTATCAGTTGCAGCCTTAGCTGTCTTGTTTGCTGCGAAGACGTCATGTTCTGTCGTGGTGCGCGCTCTGAGTTTTTTTTGTCGCATGCTGTCTGCTTTCTTCATGTCCACCGGTGTTCCTGCGCAGTACTGTACCTAAGGCGAACAAGTCTGCTGAACCTGCCCCACTATCAGTTGCAGCCTTAGCTGTCTTGTTTGCTGCGAAGACGTCATGTTCTGTCGTGGTGCGCGCACATTAGGAAGCGGCTTCCTCATCCGAAGTCGTGCTCCCAGGTTTTTTTTGTCGCATGGTCCCGTCTTCTTTCTCAACGTCCGCATGTGTTCCTACTGCCTCAGGCCAGCAAGCCTGCTGAACCTGCCCCACTACCAGTTGCAGCCTTAGCTGTCCTGTGTGCGCGAAGGCGTCATGTCTTGTGTAGATTCTTGTCTTGCCTGTGCCTGCTGCC